TTTTATTCAAAAATAAAAACATCATCGTTTTTTCAAAATCACATAAAACCATACTATAACATCGACTGAGATAAATAATAAAATAAAATATTAAAATCAAGTTTTTTCAAAATCACATAAAACCATACTATAACATCGACTGAGATAAATAATAAAATAAAATATTAAAATCAAAATGTATCTCGTTGCATTGCGCGAGTACCATTCTAGTTAAATAATATAAATGAGTTTTTTTTTTCTCTTAATTAATGACAGATAGCTAAATTTCTTCTATTTGATTATATAATATAAATGAGTGTTGACTATCTGGTTAATTGTGCATTATTTCGTTTAATCAATTATTATAATATAACTTGACAATTTATATCATTAATAGTTATAACATCTACCGATTATCAGTCAAAACTGTTTAAAATAGCAAGAGTTGAACGTTTGTTATATTAACTAGAAAAGAAAATCCATTTTTATTTGAAATACGAACAAAAGGAAATATTGTTATAGTTCGAAATCTAGTTAATAGATTAATATTAACTAAATAATCCATATTTTAGATAAATAATGAGTTGAATGGGCAAATTGAGTAATGTAACCTTGAATTGGGTTTTTTTTTTATTGGTGTTGATCGGTTTTTTTGGAGCTTAATGAGCCAGTCAATTGGATTATTTTTTACAGATTACTAATGGGTGAAATGGGTTAGGTTTATCTGTTGTATTTTTTGACCTTTTTTCTCTACTGATTTTGTTTTGGGTAATTGTGGGTTCCCAACCAACTTACGCTTACCGACTAATCATCAGGGCGACCTACTAATCATCGGGGCGATCATAAATGGATTGTAGTCATTGCAGGTGAACCAACATGGTCACAAGGGTTTTGGCAGTGCCTAAATTTGAACCAGAGAAATACGAGATTTCTACTACATTCCTTGACCCTTAACCTTCTTTATAGAATTTAGTTTGATGATATTCGACTTCTACTCGTTACAAGATAATTTTTCTTACATCTTATTTTAATTCGTTTAGCAATTGTTTGGTATTGAAGACAGACAAATCGAAATAATATGTAGATATTTTAAATCGGGATTGAAACAAAATTCGTCTGAAAGAGAAAAGTGATAAACTTCATCAAGTATATAGCATTAAATTTCATCTATACACTATACAACGATTATAATAGACAACTACATCAAGTTTAAAATACAAACTTTTCAGATAGTTTTGTTTTATTTTCTATAGTCGTTGGAAGATTTGACTTATCAGAAACACATCTCTTCGTTTATCTTGTATGCAACGATTTATTGCAACTATACATATACATATATCAGTATCAATATTTTTTTGTAATAACAAAAATCAATGATTTATTAAATACAAAATCAAATCAAATATCATCAAATCGTCTGTTTATTTGAAAATTTGTACCTAAACTTTTGGTATTGTTGTTGGGATACACACTTTGACAATTTCAATATTAGGTCGAGCTCAAAAACACATCTCACCAACACATTTGCGATAATTTAATTTTCATATATAATAATATTAGAATATTTATATATAATATATATATACTTATTTTTATATTATAGTAAATTTATATTTTTCATTTAAATATATATATATATATATATATATATATATATATATTATAAAAAGAAGTATAATATATATATACTTCTTTTTATATTATAGTAAATTTATATTTTTCAATTAAAAATATAGTATATTTCTTTTTATAAGTACTAGAAGGGTACTCGTGCAATACAGCGAGATACATCTCGATTTTAATGTTCTATTTTATTCGTTGTCTTTGTCGATATTATAATACGATTTTATGTGTTTTTAAGAAAGCAATAATGATTTTATTTTTGAATAAAATACAAATTTGAAAATATAAAAAAAAAATTGAAAAAGAATATCAATATTAATACCAAATCAACTATTTAAAAGTTCTAATTTTTATGTAATTTCTTTAAAAAAAATTATTATAATTTAATTTAAGTTTAATGATGAAATAATTTATTTTTGATTTAATAATATAACATTTTATAAAGATAATAATTAAGTATTATGTTAAAACTCATTGATTTTCCTAATTATATTTTATATTTTTTTATATTTAAAATGAGATTTTTATCCTATATTTGATTATATTTATCTGCAGTTAGTTACACGAATTCAGATATGGAGCTTTAATAAGTTGTATTTACGCACAATCTACTTGTAATCTTGAGTTTTAAGTAACATGTATTAATAAACAATACTTTATGCATAAAAAGTGGGTTTTTAGAGTTTTTGTCAAATGCTTTATAATATAGTATAGATTATTTTTCAAGGTAAAGTTAGTTTTTTTAAAATTAAAGCTCTTTATTTCTCGTTTTTCAAAGTCATTGGTATTAACGGCTTGTACAGTGTTCTTTATAATTAAAATAGCAAATTAAATAGTGTAGGTAGTTTGATTTTCTCTTTCAAACCATAAAATAAACTGTGTATGTTTTAAAAAAGTATTGTACTACAAAATGCGGTCTATTTTGTATGGCTTGTATCTAAATGTGATGTATTAAAAACGTCAATTTAATGTTCTATGGTCCATACAATACACCATTTCATAATGCATACGATACAGAGTGGATGATGACAATACATATAACATAATTAAGTTACAATTATATAAAGTTTGATCAAAGTTTTAAAACAAATATAAAACCAAAAAGCTTCAAAATGAACAACCAAAGGTTCTTGGGCAGGATTTACCTTACCAAGATAGCATGATGAGGACCGAAAATCTTATCCGACAAGAGGCATGAAAATGACTGAGAATGTTGCCGGTAAGTGATGGTGATGATTTTTACCTAGTTAGCACTTACCGAGATGAGATATGCTTACTAACAATTTTACTATATTATTTTGATGGTCAATAATCTTACTCTATAAGGTAATTGAAAGTTTTGATTAGTGGTGGACCAAAAATTTTGTCGAGCGGTTGCACCTTAAAGTGGATCAAAAATTGTCTGATGTGTTTTTACCTGAATTCCACGATTTTGATGAACTTTTTAAGTTTTTTGGTTAATTTCAAAATACTTTTTCAATTTTTTGGTAGATTTTGTAACACCTCAGACCAACCGTACCAGCTATTGTCCGTTTTGTCTACTCTGGACTCACGAATTTAAAACGTGTCCGCTTTGTTCCCCTCCCCAACCGATATGGGATATCAGATTTCAAAATACTTTTATGGTTTTTTTTGTTGATATCCTTATACTTTTTAGTATCTCGTAGTACTGCTCAAATTTTAGCCGGTGCACTTTTCATACCCCCAATTTTTTTTGTGGAAATCAATTCAGCGGATGCACGAGACCCTGCTTGGACATGAATAGATCCACCACTTGTTATAACTCTCACTCGGCCAACTAGTTGGTACACAGCTCCTTGGTACGATGCGATCCAGTACATGCATTTTGTATTTGGCACCATCGCCTCAACTAGTCTAGGCAAGGTACACATTCACAAAGAGACGAATGATCGTGTGAGAATAAAAGTTAACATGAGAAGCGTTTGAGGAGATTTGGACCTTTTTAATCACTTTTACTCCCACCCCTACCTTATAAATTGCGGTTGATACGTGAAATGATCCAGTGCATTTCATTACTGGTATTTTCAATTAGAGTTTATTCAAGAACGAATATATCTTCTTACTTTTTTCACCGTAACCTCCATTCGCAACCTTTCTCAAAGATTTGATAAAATTTAAATCATTTATTGATGGTATTAAAAACACGTCAATAATCAATAACCAAACTCTTTTATAATACAAACACAAAGTCAAATGCTATAATTTTTCGTACAAAAGAAGCATTAATAGCAGTTAAATTTTTTTTTAAATGATATTATTTATTAATAAATAAAAAAAATATTCATATTCATGTTCATATTTTTACTGCATATGATGATATTATATAGGGGAAGCGTAAAACAGTAATAAGTTAGCATCAATGGCAGGCATTGACCTGCATTTCCCAACACACATGTCACATGCCTCACCATTAGACCAAGTGTAAAAACCACCGTAACCATTCTTCTTCATTATCCTCCTCAATTTCAATAATGGCTGCCTAGTTCTCATTGGCTGCATCGCACTCACTTCCTCTTTCTTATTACCTTCCATCTTCTTCTTCTTCCCATTATTATTATTATCATATCATCAATATTGACATCATCTGATGCTATTTTTAGCACTTGTTTTCTATTTTCGTTCAATTGTTTATGGGGTCGACAGCGAAGCTTTGAGTGTACTTCACTATGATGGGATTCTATAAGTTTCTATTCAAGGATTTAAAGTCAAATTAGGTTTATTTTGCTTTGATTTCCTGTTTGTCAGGAGTTGTCCACGAGTTTGCTTCAGATTTTCCATTTTTAGGGTTTTAATGGATTCAGATCTCCACCACCATCATCAACAGCAGCAGCAGCTGCACCAACCGCAGCAAATCATGAACTCTGGTTTAACGCGATACCGATCTGCACCCAGTTCCTATTTCTCCAACTTGATTAACAGTGGCATATATGGAGATGATAGTGACCCCTTTTTCAATCCTCGGGTTTCAAACGCTGAGACGGATCAGATTTTATCAAGATTCACCTCTCCAGGCGCTGCTGCTGATTCAACATCTCATCAGATTATGAATCAAATTGCTGGATATGAACCACAGTTCATGGATTCTGTGAAGCAGGAACAAGAGGGGATTTATTCAGAGCCACAACAACAGCAGCAGCAAACGATGCTTTATCAAAACCAATTTCAATCTCAAACGGATCATGATAACCCGCCTGTCGCCACCTGTAGCTCCATCTTAGATGACTCGTTACCGTCAATGAATCTCCCCACCAATCTCCTCCGCCAGAGTAGCTCACCAGCCGGATTTTTTGCTCACCTTGATATCGACAATGGTATTTTTTTTTTCTCTTATGTTTTCGTGATTTCTGAAGCAAAAATTGCATATGAAATTATGAATCATGGGTCGACAGATCTTTGTGTCTGGACACCTGCCCTCCTCTGTGCAGTAGGGACAATTAATTGCTAGACTCATGATTTTTTGGAATTACTATTTCGAGCAAAGTTGAAGAACTTGTCGCATCTTGTATTTGGTATTAACAGTACTTTTATAGAACACCTTTGGTAGAATTTATGGAAGCAAAAGCGAAGTTGTTAATATCTGCCTATGTTGTACATGTACTTTAAAACAATTATCATGATGCTGATGCTTACATGTTCAGAACTTTCCAGCAAAAGCAATTTCTCGTAGATGGTTTTATCATATTATTCTTGATTTGGAAGGTTTATTGCTGCAAGTGGAGTCGTCTTAATATTTATAATTGAATTTGACTACTGGGCTATTCTACTTGTCTTATCCTTCATCAGAATTTAGACCCAACTTGCCATTTCTTTGGAACTTGATGAACAGTCTTCAAGAACTTTATTAGAATTTTAAACTAATTTGTAGGTTACTCTGTGATGAGATCCATGGATGACTTTGGAGCTGGTAGGGCAAGTGTACCAGATTCATTACTCTCTTCCACAAAGAGATTGAAAAGTGAATTGGGGTTTTCATCTGGTTCACATTCATCTTCTGGCATCCTGCCTCGTATCCCTGAAAACGATAGCAAAATTATGGGAGTGAAAAGCTCCCGTAATGATGGAGGTTTTGGTGAAACTCATTCACAGGATGAGGGTTATGTTGCCAGATTCCAGAGTGGTTCTTGGGATGATTCGGACATCTTATCTGATAGTTTCCTGAAAGAACTTGGTGAAAATGACCATAAGTTATCAAATCTAAACTCATCTAGAAATCAGGTATGCCGATGATGAATGATGTTTGATATTCCGATGATATCTGCATTATTGGTATTTCTTTTAACCATTTCTAACCTGACCATAAATTGTGTTGCTCGGCAGAATCATGGAGGGAGAACTCGTGCTCCCTCTACACTTGTTCATCACATGAGTTTGCCAACAAGCACTGCCGAGTTGGATAAACTACTGCAATTTCAAGATTCTGTGCCCTTAAAGAGCAGAGCAAAAAGGGGTTGTGCTACTCACCCCAGAAGCATTGCCGAGAGGGTAAGCATTCAGGCAAAATTAGTGCTTTGTTGCAATTTGATTCATCCACCTAGTCTTATGATTAAAGAATATGCATTACTTTGGATATCCACAGGTGAGACGAACCCGAATAAGTGAGAGAATGAGGAAGCTACAAGAGCTTGTCCCAAATATGGACAAGGTAAGATTATATGTAACAACCCATCTCATATGGATAGACAATTAGACTTGTGAGCTCCTTATAAGCTCAAAGCTGTGGGTTATCAATAAATTCCACTATATTTTTAAGTTGATTTTGAGGTTATTGGGCCAACTTATTTAATGAGGCCTTGATATATACTTGATACTTGCAGCAAACAAACACAGCGGACATGTTGGATTTGGCGGTTGATTATATCAAAGACCTTCAGAAAGAAGCCGAGGTATGGCATACAAAGGAACAAGTTTGTAACCACATATTAAAGATTGTAGCATATAATTCATTGATATGCAAAGATGACTAATTATGTGAATTGTTGGAACATTTCAGACACTTTCAGACCATCATGCAAAATGTACATGTCCACATAAACAGAAGGTGTAACACAAGTTTAAGCAGCCAGCGTAGGTATGTCTTGCTTCTGTAAATGATTTATGCAGAAAGTTAACCTTGAATTATTTTCAGTAATCAGAAAACACTCGAATAAGACTATGCACCCGGTCAGTAAGTAGTATTGGTGTATATGGAGGGAATAACAACACTCCATTATTGTTGTAACTATAGCTTATTGTACAGTAATGCTCAACTACATTAAGCTTGTTCAAGATCTCAGACAACCATGTTTACTGCCTTGGTGGGTGGCTCCCCATATTTCTCTGCTCTACTTGTTTCACTTCAATATTGAGGAAGAATTAGAGGCCCTTTTTGCTTAATTTTGTTCAGAATAACTTGTTCATGCATCAAGCAATTAGGTATGCTCCCGTGACTTGTTTGTTATCGTGTTAACTTTGAATAGTGTATTAAGCTGGAGTTCTTTACAGAAACAACCTCTTTATCCCTTGGGTAAGAGGAAAAAATGTGTACATCTTAGCATCTTTACAGTTTTTGGACCCCCATCTTTCGTGTGATATTCACCGGGTCGGGTCGGGTCGGTTTTATACAATAAAACAATGGATCGAAGTTGCTATAACTTAAGAAAGTGTGAAAGTGAAGTGTTTATTTATGGAAAAAGGTGGAGATGTTTGATGTAAAGGGGTATGGAACAATTTCTAGATTTGGTTGAGGTGAATATGGAATACTCTGGACCACATATGTCTTAATTATGAGAGAGTAAAGTAAATGAAAGAAAGGAAGATTAAATTACGTTTTTAGTCCCTGTGATTTGTTAAAAATTGTTATTTTGGTCCTTGTATTTTCAAAATTATGATTTTCATTCCTATGATTTACAACTTATTGTTTGTTTTTGTTCCTATGGTTCATAATTTATTGTTGTTTTCTTCTTCCTTATTGTTCACAATTCTTTGTTGTCTTCGTTCTCATACATAAAAGGTAGGAATTAGTTTTAGGTGCGAAAATAGTAATGAATTATAAATTATAAAGATAAAAACCGTAATTTCAAAACCTTTGGGACTAAATTTATATTTTTGGCAAACCACAGGGATGAAAAACGTCATGAAAGAAAGGTAGATGATTTGTGAATCTTGGATTTTAGGTTACCTTTTATCCGATGTGGTGGTGCTCACTCACCCACATCTCTCTTTGACTCTCGATCGTTCTTTATTGAATTTTTATTCATACTTTTGGCAAAACAATTTATTTTTCTCTCTTTTTTTTTTATAAATTGTCAAAAATCAATGCCTAATGTTTATGAAAATAGTTGAAATGTCATTTTACATATATATATATATATATATATATATAGACTGTTACAGTAAGAAAAATAAGCTGATCAATAAAATATTTGCCCAAATGATTATAACTGAAATGGTGTCAAATGGCATGCTACTTCAAACTTGGAGAAAAGAGAAAATTACATCTAAATTGTTTGTGTTTGTTCTAAACCAAAATGAACATGATATCATGATCCATTCTGTATGTGGCTTGTAAGTTGCTTGGGTCTTTCAAATCTAAGTTAAAACCCTTGTGCAGCACGACTTCAAAGTTGCATAAAGCAAAGTTTGCGACTACCCAAGTTGTAGGCAAAACAAATGCACCGAGAATTTTTACGCTCATTGAATGCGACTTGAAAACAAGTTCACAAGTCACCTAAAAAATGTGTCAAGTGAGTATCACAAAATTCAGCGTTTCACATTGATAGTCAACTCATACCCCAAAAAAAAGTCATACCCTAGGCCTAGAGAACTAAATGACATCCAAAATACTCACAAGCTAATAAATTTTAGTATTGCCATTACCCATTAATAAGAAGGTCAAAGAGTGTCAAATCTAAATGACAAACATTACGTGAATCAGTTTCCACAAAATCTCCATCTCTTCTATAAACCATCATCAAACAGAATGTCGACCCAACATTCATGAAATCAGTGTTAGACTTAAAACTCCACCGTGATCAAAATCTCCTCTCTCAAGGATATAACTTACCAATGAAACGTGGAAATTCTCTAAATAAGAACTACCAACTCTCTAAAGACAAGTTGTTTACTAAGAATACATTTTTAAATATATAATATTTATGCACGACATATAATTACATATATTCTTCGCCTCAGGTGAAATTTAAATCACTTGTCTTGTAGAAGTTAAGTTTCTACCAATAGCACAAACATTATTAAGCTAATACACTTCTGTAAAAACATATATTTTAACTTTAAATACTAAATAAGCAATTAAATGTGGATTCATGTTTTTTCCAAAGCATCTTTTAATTATAAAAGGCAAATTAAAGTTGATGTCTATTTCTAAAATGGGTAATCATGTATGAATAAGATGGTTAGGTTTTGATAAGGTTTGCTTTTGGCTTAGTGGTGCCATCATTTATTTCTATATAATATATGTTGCAAAATGGGCCTTTTATTTAAAATTTATTTATTTATAACTATTTTTATTTGATTAAATTTATTTATTTAAAATCAAATTTTCTTATTTATATATTTTATGGACACTAAAACTAAAAAGTAGGCAAAATACAAGGATCAAAAAATAATAAATACAAATAATTTTATTAGATAACGAACATTTCCTGAAATTGTGGAACATATCTGAAAAATAATAGATGTGCATTCATTCCGAAGGGTCATTGGGTCGAATGTTATCCAAGAAACATACTTAACTTCTCCCACTTGTCATACTTGGGAAAACGGCGCATAAGAAGGGTTGCAGATCTTGTTTTCAAGGAAAGGTTGGGTTGTCAAGTTGTTAGGGGATGTGTTACACGCGTTTTTGAAAGATTGAACTGATTGTACCATGGTTGAGCGTCCAAACGGTTGGGTCCTTGCACCGGATGTTGTTCCTAACCAGACCCATGTATTTTCACCCAAACGCATACAATATTCGACTTTGCATATGCAAATTGTCATATACCAAAAGTCCAAAACTAATGGACTAAAAGGTTGGCTTAGGAGACAACCACAAGGGTGGTGCCTGATTGATTTGAGTTTTGTTTCAAAGGTCAAAAGTACTAGGAGGTCTCAGGTTCAAATCCAAGGAGGAATAAAAATCCCTTTGTGGCCACGGAGGTTCAAATGCGGTAACTCCGGGCTATCTGCAAAGCAGATGGTCGTCATGGAATTAGTCGACTTGCATAGCGGGTTGGATATCCAGGTTAATAAAAAAAATCTTAGGAGGCATAGTTTGGTAGAATAAATAATAAACAAAACTTCAAATTAATATAAATATAATTTATTATTGGTAAAGAATATGTAAATTTGTAAATTTTTGACAATTTTAAAATAAAAATACATAAATTTAAAAACTAAAAGTATCCGATTATAGTGGACATATTTTAAGAACCCATGAACTTGTGATAAGTTTGAGAACTTGTGTATCATGTGTTATTTCATATGATTTTTTTACCATTTCAGACTATAATTTGGAATATTGGGATTAACGTATATTTGTTTCACAGTGGGTTTGTTTCACATGTACTTAATTCACAATGTGAAACATATTTGGAGTGTTTGTGAAACCCAAAATACATATAAAAATTTCACATTGTGAATCCGAATACATGTGAAACAAACACACTATGAAATAAATAAATATTAATCAATACATTAAATACTATGCATAGATAGGGAAAAAAATCATATGAAATAACAATGAAGCACAAGTTCTCAAGGTTATCAAAATTTCAGGGATTCTCAAATTATTAAGTCCCTCAAATTATAAATTGTAAAAGGTAAACTTAAATTTAAGAGATTGTGTTTTAATATACTTATCTTTGTTCCAAAATAAATGTCTACAATAAAAATGACATACAATTTTAAGAATGTGTGATTACTATATTTTTGAATTTACCAAAAGACAATTTTATCCTTATTTATTGAGAAAACAATTTTATTTATCCTATAAGTCCAATAACCACCATAAACTATCTTATTTTGAAAGATTAAGTCACTGAACTATTTTTTTTAATGAAAAAATCATCAAACTTTCTTATTTTGAATGAAAGTCCATGAACAATTTTTGAATGAAAAAATCATTATATTTTTCTCATTTTGAATGATTAAGTCCAAGAACATTTTTTTGAATAAATAAACCATCGAACTTTTAAAGTAAAAAAAAAAAAACTACTTGTAACCGACTAGAAAGATTTTAAAGTAAAAAAGAAAACTAAATAAGTTTAATGCTTTCAAACCCTACGCCATTCAAACCCCCTTGCAAACAACAGTAATGCTTCTCCTCGCCTCTTGTCGCCTGTTCATTACACGTTCTTCATGTTGCCTATCATGTTTTGCCACCTATCACCAATCTCCATCTTTTTTTTATCTTTTTTTAAATTTATCGAAAGAGGGAAATCAAAAGATAAAAAACAGATCAAAAATAAGAAAATGATGGCAAGGGCCAACGGCAATGATAGACGATATGGAGAGCAAACAATGTTGACGCGTCAAGGAGTAGTGAGGATGAGTGATACGGTGTTTGTGTAGCATTTGAATAGCGTATGATTTGAGAACGGTAAAACCGATAAGGTTTTTTTACTTTAAAACATTTATAGTCGGATATATATATTTGGGGTTAAAAGAATGTAAGTAACCGATTTTTATAAATTCGTTAATTTATTTTTATTGAAAAGAAATGCTTACAGATTTAATCATTCAAAATGAAAAAAGTTTAATGGTTTTTTTATTCAAAAATAGTTCAAGAATTTGATCATTTAAAATTAAAAAATATATATTAATAGTTTTTTTCATTTTAAAAAGGGGTGGACTAAATGCACCCCTATGCATTGCTTAATGTACCACTATCCATGAATTTCTTCCTAACATGCATCAACATCAATAAATGCTTTTTACATTCTCAATGCTTGAATAACCCGATTCTGACATGAAAAGGGGTGCCATTAGCACTTCAAAAAAAGGATGTATATAGGTTAAGAAGATGAAGGTTAGGATGATATACATATGGAAATAAAATATAAATCGTGAATACTTTAAATCTCGAGAATCCCAACGGCTAGCAAAGGTACAATATTTACATGACTGTACACGTGTCAAAATCACAGCCATCAACGTCTATTTTTCCCTCTCTGATAGAAATTTGAAATCTGAACATATTCCCTTCCCTGAAAAACTCCAAATAAATTCACGGTTGGCTTCACAATCACTCCCTCGCTCCGCCCCCTTCACCACCATGGAAGTGGCCGACGATGAAATTAACTCCGGCGCGCCACCCTTTGTGCCTCCGTCATGGGTTTCCCTTTCCCCATTCCCTCTTCAAGTCCATCCATCGCCTCGCCGCCTCTCCAGCCACTTTACCCCTCCGACCCGACCCGTACGAGCAGCGAGACAGCTGGCATGGGTATCGTTACAGGGTAGGATTGTTGGAGCCGAAGAAGCGACCTCAGCCAAAGCTATCGGCGGCGGATTGACTCCTGAAGAAGCCGTTACTTGGGAGTTCTTCAGTCCCATGCACCGGATTTTGATCGTCGCCATCCTTGCAGCTGCGGCTGCAAATTCGAAGAAGAATAAGCTGATTGTGCAACTGAAAAATTCAATTGAAATAAGGGTTAGCCAATTTAGTTATTTATATGTTGTTAGTATTCAATTAATTGATTCTATTTGTTATTCAATATGCGTAATTCAAGCAGATTTTGCAGCTTACAAAGATAGTTATTACGCAAAATCCATGGTTTCTTAGGACAATGTTCTGCCTGTTGCGCCATTGTTAGTAGATTTTTAGCAATTGTTCTTTTGAATTTGTTAATTAAAAACACATCTACTCAGTTTAATTCATATAATATGAAACTATTATTAATTCTCAACAAGATTAGGTTTCGACTTTAATTGCCCAGCTATTGGATTCATTAGACCTGCATCAACCCCAACCCTCATGAATGCGATTAGATAGGATGAAAACCTAGATGGAATTGCTATAACTGGGTGTACAATTGTCACTTTGGGTTCTTTACAAAATGTGTTAGGATTGATATTAGCAATATATTCTAAAGAAATATTGAATCATGAGATGTTGAGCCATGAAAGTCTTCAATGTATTGTTTATTGATCCATAGAGAAGATTACATTAAAATGACAAAACTACATCATGAGAAGATAAGAAAGGAAGGTTAAGTGAAAGTTCATACGTGAATCATTGAAAAAATCCGTTTGAAGATGCATATGTGAACTCATATGAAAATTTTGTAACATTGGTTCACATAATCATCTTCAAATAGATCGGATTTTTCAATGAATGCACATGTGGACCTTCATTTAACCTTCCTTTCTTACCTTCTCACGATATTTAGCCTTTTTATTTGAACCGGCAGAAACAATTTGAAATGCAAATGTGTATGCTTCACATAGATAAAAGATATGGGTTTAACTTCAAATCCCCTTTTAAATAGAATTTAACGCACCTTAATCAGTAGTAATCCCCTTTCAAACTTATGTATTCTACAAAGCATTGTGTATGCCAATGATGTTATTTAACAAGCTATCAAAAGGTTAATCTTTTTGTCCCACACTATCTTCAGGATCAGGTGCTTTTAGGCATGCAGCAAAAGCTTGATAGCCTATGTGAGGAGGTGAACTATTTCAAGGATAAGCCTGATACCACATCCTATGATTTTGATGTTTCTGGTTGTGGATGCCGGCATTGTGATCATCATCAACTTCCGGCGAAATATATAGAAGTAAGACAATTGTCTTTTTTTGATAACAAAATAGTTGCAGATTACTTATTAGTTCTGAATTCACCCAGGGGGATTCTACTACACAAGCTGTTGATGAGGATGATATGATGAAGTTTAAAATGGCTAATGATGTCGAACAAGAAGAGCGCCGCTTTTCTGATTTGTCAGATTGGGCTCCCAGTGTCAGCTCCTCGATAGATGTTCAGGTGATTGATTATATATGGATGCAATATTCTTTCGTTAAGGTTAAGTTGCATATATCTACGTTGTCCACATTAATTTGAACGCAGACCTTTTTCTTATTTGTGGTCTAGTTTCTCACCGAGAAATTGCTCAAAACAAACTAATTACATTCTTTATTGACTTATTATTTAGTCTCTCCATACCCTACCTAGGAGTAGAGGTAAGGTCTGCATACATCTTACCCTCCCCAGACCCCACCCCTCCCCTTGGGGTATAGGTGAGGTCTTGGTACATCTTACCCTCCCCAGATCCTACCTCTGTGTGGGATTTACAGAGTCTGTTTAGTTTGGTTAGGTTGGTATCCTAGAAAAGTATAATTTAGCACTTCCCTTTACTTCCATTAAGACCATTTATCAAAGTATAATCATCCATGAAATGGACTTTTAAGACCCTTCCATCAACTGCTTGAAAACTAATCTTCCATAAACTGCATTATAGTGGAACACTTCAGTTGAACAAGATATTGGCAAGCTCCAGAAGGAATGTGAAGATAAAGATGCCATAATCAAAGAGTTGTCAGCTTTTCTCAATTCAGCTGAATCTCTTAATTCAAAGGTATTTATCATATTCTTGCAATATTCAACAAATATCTATATGCATTCAGTTACCATCTTTTCATCTGGATGAAACAGAGAATTGCAGAACTGGAAGACATTATCCGTCGAAAAAATACAATGATCACAAAGCTTAGGAAGGACATGCTGGTTCTTGAACAGAAGGTTTGCAACTTCATTTTCAACAATTTTAGCTTTTCATTAGATTCCAGTCTTGGATACAAACTGGTGCCATTTTTTCATCTACAGGTGATTCAACTCACAAGACTCAGAAGGCCATCATCCTCCAAATCAAGTTCTAGCTCAAAGAAACTTCCTGCCATGGCGGACAATCTAATATATGACATGGATAGCACAACCAGCCCGTCTGATGATTCAGATTCATCGGCCAATAGGAAACATCGGACTCCATCAATGAATTACATTAACAAGAATGAAGCACTACCTTCTGTGAAGAACAACAAGAAAGAGCATCCTGCTGCTATACTGAATAGACAAAAACCATCTTCGGCCCGTTGCTATGATGTTACGGCTAAATCAAACGAACAAACTATGAGCCCGCTCAAAGAGAGGTCGGTAAATCAACAAGTGGGTTCGGTTGGGTTGTCGAAGTCAAAGGGGTCAAGGTCTGGTTCTGGAGATTGCAAGAGTAGATATGGAGGTACAGGTTCGAGCTTAAACAAGTCTAGAGTTTCAGGTTCAGGGGCACATAAGAGATGGTCTTAAACTTTTGATGAAACGTTTAGAGGATCCGTTAATTAAGCAAATTTACGGTTAGCATCAAATATATAATCAAAATTACAACCCAACCCAAACCGTCCGGGTTGAGTTGGGTCGGTCGGGTTGAATCATTGGTACATCATTTTATAATTTAGTTAACGCTGCAAAATCAAAATGAAAACATACAAAAAGAGGCTAATAAACCTAAAAAAAATGTTGAAATTTCATACAAATAAAAAAGTAAAATTACGATTGAAATTGTAATATAATTTTGAATATAGCTAATCGTGGATTGGTTTAATGTCTAATGTGCATATATTAATCAAGGATTTGACAACCATATTAAATCCATATTATAGAAAAGGCATCGGGTTCATCGGGTTGAGTTGAGTTCAAATTAACCCAACCCAATAGAAAAGGCATCGGATAGAGATTTTATAAGTTTTTTCGGGTTGGTCAGGTTAGTCGTTATATTGAGCACCGGCTAATTAAGATAAGAGTAAGCTCTTCATGTGGTTTGTTGGCGATTGTTAATTGCGTCCTTGTAGTTTTGCTCTTGTTCACCAAACCCTTATCCGATAACCGTTTATCAAGTCATTTACTTTATTGAATGAATATAAAAAGGATTGAAAATCTTATCCAATGAAAATGATAACAAGGGCTAAGAGTGTTACATGTTAAATGAGAGTGACGACTCTTACAAGAATAATGCTTACCAAATAAACAATTCTGATGGACTAGAATCCTACCCAATAAAATAAGTAATAGTGTTGAATATTACCAGTAAATACTTACCGGACAAGTGTTTAGGTAAATGGTCGCTAACTCCGCTAACTTACACGGATATTTTAGTCTTTTTATTCTTTATAAGGCAAATCAAAAACTTGACTCATGATTTTGTTCTCTATGAATTTTCCTACCTAGTATCACTTTTTATATGTTTAGACTTCAAATCATATAGAAACTGTTTAAAAGATAGAAACCTAACAACCAATTTCATAGTTTGTATATTGTTTCATAGATGAAATAACACATGAAAACCAAAAGACTATGAGTTTAATTTTAAGTTATGATTCATATAATTTCACATGTTCTGTTCTTATTGGCATAATATAATGTATGTGAAGCATAAGTGTATTTTTGTGTCTTCCCTCACATGCAAAAGATTACTTGACGTTTCATCTCTATGAAACAACAGTATGTGAACAAATTACGTTAACATGTGTTGTTTTATCTTGAAAATAATATATACAAACTGATTTTACAGTTTCTAACTTTTGGACGATTTGTATATAATTGTCCCCTTGTATGTTTACACACACAATCTTTTATATATACATCTAAAGTGAGAAAATGAAAACACAAATCCCACAATTATTTCAAATATCTCCGGCAAGTCTGTGCCTCTCTCTCACGTATCATGGTACCAACTTATTTAATTATTGATTAGTTTATGAATTCTTTATTAACCATTTTGTTTGGACATTGAGTGTTGGCAAATTTATTTTTTGCGATTAAAACACTTTCACATCCCATTTATTACCATCAAACGCAAAATATCTCTCAAATTTGAACAAAATGATAAGATTTTACATATATAACTTAAAGTTTGTACAAAACCAGTATCATTTAAAAAAAGTTGATGCCAAATACAGTTGGTTGGTACATGGTTTATGATTTTACAGATCAATTATATTTGGTTAGTACACGATATTGAGAAGAAAAAGACTTGATACGATACCAAAGTCCATCTCTAATATTTAGATTTAGACTTAGATTTTTATTTCGTATGCTCCTAAAACATTGTCTTTAGATTCCTTATCAAGACAAGATGTCCCAATTAGGAGTTTAAATCACTCTCACCTTTACCTTATATTCAATTTGAGTTAACGCGTATAAGATTTTTAGAACCAACATTGTTTGATTTTTTTTATTGGGAATAATTTGACGAATTTTAAATCAATTCTTACGTTGGAAAATCAATTCTCAAAACATTCATTTTGGGACTCGAAAACCTTTTAGCGAGTATCCATTAATGCTTGATGATGTATCAATAAGCTTTTTGGTAAAATCTAACACTATTATTTACTTATCTAGTAAGATTTTAGTCCATCAAAACGACATCATATGCAACAATTTACCCGGTAAGCGTTTATCATGGTAAGAGTCGTCGCCCTCATTTACCGGGTAAGACTTTTCGTTTTTGTCTCGCTCTTACCGGGTAAGATTCTTGGTCCTTACCATATTCATCCGGTAAGGTAAACGCTTATCCAGATAAGCGTTTGATAAACGACCCCTTATTTGTTTATTCTTTTATTTATAAATAATTTAATAAGGGCAGTAATGTAATTAAGTAATTTTTATAA